CAGGCTACACTCACAGTCATCACTGATACAGAGTTTGGGATCACACACTGTTGAACTGAACCTTTCTCTCCTAAAATAGCACATTTCTGAGTCAGTATGTTGAGGAAATAATTACTGAGTAGCAAAAACAAAAATGAGACAATAAAAACCCAAGGATCACTTTTTATCTGTTATGCTGCTTAGTTCTGCCACTCAGTCAGAAAATTTGAGAGTATTTTTCAAATAAAATGATGTCTGTGCATAAACTCTATAATCACTTCTTTTTGATTTAGAATGCTCTTGTTTAATAGACAAACAGAATCATTTGTCAGTGACATAACTTGGATCTGACAATAGGTCTTTCACAAATTCAAAACAATCCATTTGTTGTCAGTTTATCACACCAAAGGCCCTGTTCCTGATAAAAAGACAAAAAAGTTTTGCCCCACTACAGTGTACAGTAACAGCAGCTTTAAGGGTCAAAATGAGACTGTAGTGCACTGTATGTATATATAGTGATATTTATCTCTCGCAAATCCTGAAGTTGTGCTGGTGCGTTGTTTGCAGACTGGTTATTACCAGCAGTCTTGTGACGCCTGTATGCCTCTTGACAATTTAAAGAATAAACTCATCCCTGTAAACAACCCAGATATAAGGAATACAGTATGTTAGGGATGAGAGACATTTGGACCACTGCAAAAATGAATCAAGAAATGCAACGTCATCATTTGCCTGGGATCCAGAATACACACTTCTGCAATATGAAGATGTGAGACTAGTCGCCGGTAAATCTACCTGTTTTCAGGTGGGCGTGACTGACAGATGAATTAGCCAATCAGAGACACCCATAGTCCATCTATATTGAAAAAATAAAGGAAATAATATCACAGGGGGCTGAAACACATTGCAGTTTTCTGCAGAATAAAGCACTAAAATTTGTTAATCTGAGGTGAGATAAATTAGATTTTATTTGTAAATGATAGATGACCAATGAGCTCCTTTGTTTCACATGCATCACTGAAAAAAGACAAATCTGATTGTGTGATCATGTTTGATCTGGCTTGAGACATGACGTAGGGTCTAGGGGACCAGACTGATATCAATATAACAAACAGAGAGATACATCACTCTGGATTTGCCAGGCAACGTCATCATAACTTAATCCAGTTGGAGTACTTCAGTAAAAGCCCTTTAACAGTAATTTTCCTGGGGTTTAGATCTCATAAATATTTTCACAACAAATAAATTACCTCCTCAATTATATCAAATCATGAGGTACAACATGAGAACCAGCATGAAATCTGCCGTAGAATTACATTTGTGCTACTTTGAAGAAAAATAATTAAAAGAAACTCCACAGGCTCCTGAAGGCTGTCTGCTGAGAGCCTGCAGTAGCTAATGTAATCTGTGATTGAGTCTGACCTGAGTGGGCCGTGCTCTGGAGCAGCAGCCCTATATACACACCTACACACAAGAGGAAAGAAATACATGCAAAAGATGACACAGCAACACTCAGATTCTTGCTCAACATCTGCAACTAGACCTGTCACAATACTTACTATATGAACTTATCGTTCAAAATATGAAAGCTGGAACAATATTTTCAGTGTCAATATTTATCATGTGTACATTTTCTTTGCATTCCTGGGGAATTATTGTTCGTGTGTATGACAAGATTTTAGTCGTAAAAGGTTGAATAAATAACTTGACTATGATTCATTACAGATACTAAAGTTTCAATCTGCTGTTTATTTATTGAAGCACATGATTTTTTTTAACAATATTGTAGATTTAAAATATTTTTTGTGGTATAAATTTGCTCTTGGGTGATTGTGTCAGTAGCAAAAATTAATTTCCATATTATGTTTTTTTTTCATCTTTATATTGCACTTTGCACTTCAAAATGTGTTATTGTGACAGGCCTATCTGCAACATAAAGACACACACAGCAGGCCACATTATATTAGATTAGTGTATTATATTTCATTCAAACATTAGAAAATGATGCTTGTGTGCTGCTGTGTCATCCTTTTGTCCTTTGGTCTGTGTGACAATAAGTGGTAAGTGGATAATTGAGGCAGGCTCTTGTCGGGCACTGACCCCTGTTTGTGGAATAATTCAATCATTGTGTGTTCAGTTAGACCCCTGCCACTGCTGTTGTTCTGGGCCATGTGCTAATGCCTTGATATTACACCAGCTCAATGCAAAATCTGCTCCAGCAAATACACCACAGTGAGCCTTTTTCAATAGCCTTTTATTTACTTTAAAGGTCTTATATTGTATTGCATGTGTTATGCTGTTACCACCACAAAAACATACCTGGAGTTGTGTTTTGTTTCATTCACATATGTATGAGTAACCCTTTATAACTAGTCTGTTCACATCTCCAAAGTTCAAAATGCTCTGTTCCATCTTGTGATGTCATGAAGTGATAGTTTTCAGTTTAACAGCTCCTTTTATCTTCAGTTCAGTAGATCCATCCAAATGATTCTAGTGAAGGTGCATGGGGTTTAAAACACAGTGGAACAGTTTCTGTATTACCACATGACATCACAAGGCGGAGGTGGGACCAAGTCGTTGTTTTGCAAGTCTCAAGTAAGTCTCAAGTCTTTGACCTCAAGTCCGAGTCAAGTCCCAAGTCAAATACAGGCAAGTCCAAATCGAGTCTCGAGCCACTGGCCCATAAGTCCAAGTCAAGTCCAAGTTGTCTGCTTTGAGCTACAAGTCATTTCAAGTTTTTAAACCAAAGCTTAGACTTTTGCAATTTATATGACATAAAAAAAAAATCTAAGTATATTTATATATGAGTATTTATAGAGTATATAAGAGTTGTATGAATGTTTTTTCCTGTTTAAATGTCTTGACAAGACCTTAGTGTGAATCATTATGGTCAGAACAGAAAGAATTCAGATTTAAAAATGCTTCTCAAGTCTCCTCAAGTCACAGGCCTCAAGTTCGAGTCAAGTCCCAAGTCAGTGACCTTCAAGTCCAAGTCAATTCCCAAGTCTTAGTCTATTTTATCAAAATAGTGACTCAAATCTTATTCGAGTCTAAGTCACGACTTTCAAGTCCGCACCTCTGTCACAAGGTGAAAAAGATTGTTTTCTGTTTGAGAGAAGAACGCTCAGCCTAAATGTGCAGTGTTTGTGTGTTAAACACGTGTGAATCACATACTCCAGGTATGTTTGTGATGAGAAAACAATTTTATAATAGTTCTGAAAATATCTGTTATAATATGGGCCCTTTAGTTGAGAGAGAGAATGTACTAGTTGCTAAACAGCATTTCATAATTTTTGTCTGACAATGACAGCAATAAATCTAATCTACTAATAATTTCATATTATTGGGCTGGTTTAATTGATCACTTTATGTAAGTAATAATATTAGGGATATATTGTAATCACAACAACTGCCAAGGTTAGTTTATTTGAAAAATACTCAACAAAAAACTAATATTGTATAATCAAAATGTGTTCACATGACTTGTTTTTTTCTAATGCAATTCATCTAGAAGAAATAATTTTTGGTCTACTACTTGTTCTCAAGTTCATAATTGTCTTTGCAAATTCCTCAACTGTACATGCATTATGGCTCTTCAAACTTATTTATGATAAGAATTCATAATTTCAGTTTTAAGTAAAAGTAAAACTATTCTTCTAGGAAAAGAAGGTAGTAAAAACACAAACACAAAAGAACTGATAAGTAATCACAATCATACCATTGTGAGTGTACAGACAGTGCAGATATTGATTGGGATAACCGAGGTCGTCTTTGGTGTACTTTGGACTATGTTAATAATATACTCTACAAGTTGAGTACAGTTGTGTTGCTGCTGAAAGTTGACTGAGAATCACTAGAAATGCCGGCCAGCACAGAGGAAGTCGTGACTGTTTAAAAAGAGTAACAAAACAAGGCCCACACAGCAGACCACACAAAATAGAGCTGCATTTTAATTCAGGAATGGGACTCTCTTCCAAGTATGCTATAACTGAAGTCCCCTACTGCAGCAATGCTTTATTGCGATGTCACATACAGTCATTTGTCAGAGTCCAGAGTGTATTTAATGTCCAAACCAACAACATCAGCAGTCACTACAGATACAGTCTAGAGTTCAATTCATATGCATTATGTTGCGTAAAAAGTGTTCTGCTTAGTGCACTTTTTGACCCTCTTTAGTGACCTGTTGACCTTAGCCTGCCCATATTGGCTCTAAATACTACTAAACTCCAGTTAAGTGAGAATCCCATGTGCACCAACAGCTCAACAATGCACCGATTCTCTGGGAGGCTTTAAAGGTGCATGGTGCAGCTTTTTCTGGTGAAGGATCTGCCACCTGCTTGTCTCCATGAGTGGGTGTGAGTGCATATGTTGGGCCTTGATGAAAGGGGCTAATAGCACGTGTGCTTATGTGTTTGGTGTATGTTATTTTTATGTTGTTTTAATTTATTTGCAGGCAGTTTATCTATATACACTGAATCTGTATTCTGAGTATTTCCACCAACCTGCTCAGGGACTACAGGTGTAAATTAGCATTCACCTGCACCTGGCACCAGCATCTTTCCATGACTTTTCTCTTGGTTAAAGTATTGTTGTGCACTGTCCCTGTATAAATAAAAAGCATACCATACCCTACCATTAAGGGTGTTTCTATTGCTCAAAAGTACAATATTTCCTTATATGAGTAGGGGTGACTCTCCACAGATCTGCACTTTAATGTATCGTAGTGCTGTAACCTGCTTGTCTCCCTTGTGATAGATAATCTATACTGTGGAACATTCTAGACAAAGCAATATCATCTCCATGGAGACATCAGGTAGCAGACCCTCCACTAGAAATCTTACACAGATGACCTTTAAAACAAGCTTTGTAGTCTGTATAGAAGATGTGCTGTCAAGATCGGCAGCCCCATGCAAAATACTATAACCCAAATGATGGCCACAGCAACTATCAGAATAAGGTGAATACAGAAGAGTGTTTTCTGCTTTTAGACACTGTTTGATACATTATAGTGACAGACCTACCTGTGACCTGCAGTTTATCATCGCTGACCTCCACCTTCAGGAAGACTCTGCCTCTCCTCTCAGTGTGGTCAGTCCCACACATACTGGGCACATTGGTCACACACTTGTTGTGCACATTCATATCACAGGCTGAAGAGAGATGAGAGAGAATTTAAGGTTAGACAAATTTCTGTTTCAGTGTGTTTCAGTTTATTTTAATTTCAGATATGCAAACCAAAACGCAATGGTGTCATTTATGGATAACAATGTGATGTGTTGTTTATGTTCATTTTGAAGACAAATACTTCACCGGTGAAATAGCTGCCATAAAAACACTGCTTAAGTGTCATAATGTTTTGCTTGATCTGAGTCAATGAAACACATATTCTAGGAATGGGACAAGATCGTATGAGACAAAATTGCCATAATTGTGCACACAAGAAAGAACTGATCTCGTGAGATTTGTTTCCCATGTGTTTATATTTAGACTGGACAAAAGCAGTTAAGCATTGGTGAGTTACATCTCTTATAGTTTAAAGCAGTACTAGAATGGCAACAAAACATCAAACAAAAGGTGAGGACAAAATTGGAAATCGGCAATTGCAAAATGTATATTTATATATTAGGAATTATGTAAAAATCTTATCTTGTCTCGTTCTTGTTGTCCCAATCTTATATCTCGTATTGTGGATATTGTGTCTTATCCCATTCCTAAAATATTTTGCATTATTTGCACTTTTTATGTTGAATTTCGGCAATGACAGACTTTTAACAAATGCCTAAAACCTTTGGAGAGAAAGCAATTATAGTAAAATACAGTAAGCTGCTTTGCCCAGGATAAGACTGAGTACTTCCATTTTATTTGAGGTCTGGTGTACACAGCAGGAACAATATTAAAGGATTTGAGCGCTCGTGTGCAAGACGATATAACAAGGTTATGACCCAGATCTAGCCTGATGTCACGCTTGTGACTAGGAATGGTTCAGTATAACAGGCCTGGGTTAGGGTCAGACATAAGTGGTGAATAATGAATGCAAAAGCTATTTAAGGCACATTATGTTAATAAAGTAATACAAGATTAACGAAAGAAGAATGAGGAGGATATTACACACACAAAAGAGTCTAATCAAAGAGGAGGCTGCCACTGCACAGTGATTGTAATGAGGGACTGAGGAGCAGAGAGCTTCCAACAAAATAAAATAAACAGTCCCTAAATCATACAGAATGCATTCAACAAACATACATTCATTTGAACTTAAGCAAAAGGAAAATTTAATTCTATCAACTGGACAAAAGTTATTTTAGAGTGAAGTCGATGCTCATCCAAGTGGCAGAGAAACGTCTTCACTCCAAAATAACTTTTGTCCAGTGGACAGAATTGAATTTTGAGGGATTACACAGAAGTTTATTTGAACTGTTTAACTAAAGTTTATTTTAACAATGTCATAAAGCAGACAGCTACAGAACGTAAACATAAATGAAAGAGGCTGACTATTATAGACAAAGTTCACAAACTCAAGATGTGGTTTTGCAGACTTAAAGATGCACAAAGTAACTTTTCAAGAGGAAGCTACATTGCCTTCTTGTCTCCAAGGAGATATTGCTTCACCTGGAAAGTTACACAGGATTAAACTCATGTTAGTATGTATATAAACACATATTTTATTGCTGAAAAATACAACAATTCTTACTGTGAGTGGGATTGTCTCTACACAACCTGTTTCTTTGCTTAATGCCATTCCATGGAATCTTCCACTCAAAGCAATAACATCTCCATAAAGACAAGCAGGTGTAAGACCAACAGCAGAAAAGTGACATAATGCACCCACGTTATCATTGCAGAATATTAAGTGCACAATACTCACAGTCACACTTCATCCCTTGGTGGATAAGACCGTAGAGCAGCGAGCCACAGTGGTCACAGAACGTTGGGCTGCCATAGGTGTGGATCTTGAACTTGTGCTTTGTTCGAGGGTCCTGTAACACAAATTCCAAAAGTTATGTTACCAAAAAGTTAACCACAACTTTTGCAATGACAGTCTGCTACCCTGATGCTAGAAATGAGAGGACAATCCCCTCTCAAAAACGAATGGTGCTGGGTTCACCTGCAGCAGATACCCCTCTGTCCTGTCAGTCATCAGATCATCTTTGCTGTGTTTCTCCTTATGACCTCTTGTATATAGATGAGATATGTTTGTATTACTATATTTCTATATTTTATTTCTACTTGTATACACGGATATTTTGCTACTTATTTAGAATTTATTATTAACATTTATATATATTTTATCTCTTTTATCTATATTTTAATATATTTTGAAGCGTGAGCTACTGTGTCCAAATAATTTCCCTTGTGGATTAATAAAGTTTGTCTAAGTCTAATAGGAAGCATGGTGTTTATAGAGCTGCCAGTTTCGGTATTCTAAAGACACACATACATACTTGATCAGTGATACAATGTTCAAGCTCACTCCCATGACTTTGAAAGTGACTTTAATGTTTTTCTTATTCTGTAAAGCATGACTTTGTGTATGAATTGTTCTATAATAAACTTTTCCTGATGAACACTTGGAACTCAATACCCTGCAGTCTTACAAATTAGACTACATATAGAAAACAATGTGTTGAACGGCTCGGCAAGCAGCATTCCCAATAGGCTGTGTTATTTCACACTGTTCCTGCATGACCTTATTTCATACACTAAAGACATATACAGTTCCCAAAGCCACAGAGCGACAAATTATTCATTGAGGAGACAATGGTGCACTTATTGCTGATTGCTAACAGTTGTGTTTTTAAAATAGCTTTTATAGGATGTGATTAAAACTAATGAATATGAATTGAAAGTTAATGAACCTCTACAGTCATTGGAAGATTTCTGAAGCATTTCATTTAGAGATAACTGACCAGTCACAGTCTATTAGTTTTCAATTTCTTGAGTGGGTTTGATTCTCATGTTGTCAGTTCTTTTATTATTAGGTTTTATAGAATGTTGTAAAGGAAAACAAAAAAAGCTGTACAGCATTGTTTAGGCTGGAACTCTGTCTGATAATATTTCTTTATTGATGTACTGTACATAATGCTGGTTTCTTAGAATTAATTGGAAAACACACTGTATTATAATTATGACTCATCTATTTTTCAGTTTCCAATGTCAGCACTTATATTATATTACAGTACTCTGGACTGTGGCTGTGTTTCCTTTGGCAAGGTTTTAGGGAAGAAAAGTCTACATGAGACAGAAAACTATACTATCTACAAAGTGACCCAAGTATTGATGTTCGGGTCACTTTTGGGTCGGAGAGGGTATAGGTCAATTTTTGAGAGCCCTGTATGTTAAATGTTATTGAGAGAGAGAGAGCGAGAGACAGAGAGAGAGAGAGAGAGAGAGAGAGAGAGAGAGAGAGAGAGAGAGAGAGAGAGAGAGAGAGAGAGAGAGAGAGAGAGAGTATTCTGTATATTCTATGTGTGTGTTGTAAATGTGTTGATTTTACTGCTGCTGTACGAGTTTTGAGGACGCCTCGAAGACGGAATGGCTGCATCTGTCAAACCTAAAAAGATGGCTGATTTTTCCATGTGTAAAAACATGATCACAAATAGATTTGTGGTTGGATTACAGGTGGCATGTTAACTAAACAAACAGACCTGACCTTTAGCAAATGGTTGTGGGTGTTGAGCAAACACTTATTGCTTTATCCAATGTGTTGAACCAGATGAACAGTTTATCACAGTTTTTGTAGTAATATGAATAACTCAGGTCAAGAGACAGCTTTTTTCACATTTTTAGTTACCATAAAAGGCTATGTATTTAAACACATTCATTCTGTCTCATTACTAAGCACTGACATGTTATTTCCCTCCCTACAAACTAAAGCTTCCAAGATGCAGTCCCTTCACCACATTCGCATCAGGGGCACACTCCAGGCCAGACTGTTTCTTATTACATTTCAGTTATGGACTCCTCAGGAACAGATGAGTCAGCACATAATGGATAAGGCAGAGGCTTCAGCTGGGCCCTGGGAGTAAGATAGATATACAGTGTGGAAAAATAAATGAAAGAAGCTTGACCCACAGGAAATAAATCATGAGATAAGCAGAGGTGAGTCTCATATCTCAGGCAGAGCAGGCATTATCACTCTGAGAGGCGCCACACTGGTGATCAGTGGCACTTTTACTGTTTCACGCTTCGGCACCAATCATCAGAGCAAAACAGTTTTTTACACTTTTCAGTTCATCGCTAACCAGTCATCTACTCAAATAACTGTTAGTTGCAGCCCTAATCCAGGCACACACTCTAATGTAGAAATCACATTATTAGGATGATTTATGTGATCCTTTGCAGCACACAACACAGCCATGTATTTTTAATGCCACAATAAACAATGTGAGGCTACAGGTGAAGAAATACCGTGCAATTCAGCCTTCATGCTATCAATCAATGCTCTAAGAAGAAAAATACTCAAATTATTACAATAAAAACTAAATTTTTATCTCATAGTCACTTTATAGACTCAGTTTCTTTTGAAATAAGTTTAAGTTCGTTTGTTAGGTTAAGTTTGGAATGTGTGACCTAAATCTACCTAGCAACACTAAAGAACACTGACTACACAATTCCTGTTTTGGCCTGTCTTGTAAGTACTTAAATAGAAAACAAACAGGTCGGACTGGCCCGGTGGCATATTCAGGGAGCACAGGTAATATTCATTGTATTAGTTAAAGACAGATATGCAGGGCACAGAGACAGGGAGCCGGCCGGGAGGCTCTGGCAGCTGCACACGTGTCCACCCACACACAACTGATCCTGAAGGATTACCGTCACCTCTGGCCCTCCTACAACACCGATGAATGACAGAGGCCCGGGTACAATAAGCTTTTCTTTTCATTCTGTTAAGTCAAATGAGTGAAGAAATAATACAGCATGTTTTTACATAAGTTACATAAGTCAAGGAGAAAATATATTTTTTATATTTACTTGACAGTTGATTTTATTACCATTATTATATTACTGGATTGTATTATGTATGTATTATGTATTGTACTATAGTATATGTATTATTATTATTATTTATTTATTATGGCCATTTAGATTTTTAGGTCTTTGTTATTATATTTATTATCATGTGCGTGAGCTATTGTGTCCAAATAATTTCCCTTGTGGAGTTGTTGTATTGTTGTATTGGTTATGACTAATGACACATTCCTTTTGGACAGAGGAAACCTTTAGCAATTACACTTCTAACAACATTCATATTGTTGGGGCTTTTCCCGTTCAGGCACTGAAACATTACAGCTGTAGTAGGTCATTCTAAGACCATTACATCCAATCTGAGTGAAGATTAGCCCGAGCATGTTGTAATCTGAGACTGAGACTTACAAATAAGCACACTTGTCTTCAGTTGACTGGGCACATTTGGCTGTCCATTTACTAATGCTTCTCCCAGTGAGCTCCATTCTAACCCTGTGGCCTTTCTCCACTAGCACAGCCTAATTGGATCCTAATGGGAAATTTAAGACAAACAGACACAATGGGCCAACAAGAACAGCAGGGAGACTGAAGAGGAGGGAGCAACAGAACAATGCAAACAAAGATAGTTTTCCCGAAATGTAGATATTACAATTTACGCATGGGTTTCATCTTACTGGTAAATCGTGCCATTTTGAGAACGAATGACCATTTCAGAGTTCAGAAAATTGTTATTTGCTATGACTGTCCTTTTTCATCACTCTATTATATAATTATGCCTTATTTGAAACGATTCTCTTGCTATGTTTGCTACTTAATTTGGATTGATTATTTATATTTTTTTGTTCTTTGTTATTATACTATATCTTGATGTGTGAGCTACTGTGTCCAAATAATTTCATTTGTGGATCAATAATGTTTGTCTAATTCTGAAAACCATGAACACCAATGAGGACGTGTTATGATTAAATATCCACCTTATGTCTATATAAATGTTGAAAAAATACTTCAAGTTAAAAAGTTAGCACATTGCAATAAATGCACTGTTGAGTAAGAAAAAGGAAGTGAAAGTAAGGACAGTCTGTAATTTTACTTTCTAGGCTTTTTTACTGTCACACCTCAGGCCACTTTAGTGAAAGAAACGAAACACATCTTCATTCTAAACCTATGCAATTGGGTTAAAAAAATATTATTCAGAAAGCAAAGTACCCAATATTAAATTTGCTGTGAATTAAAAAAAAATAGCAAATTTGTTATGATACAAAGGATGCTAAAATATGTGTCAATGACTATTATTAGCACCTTAGCTTTATGTGCATTTGAATCCAGTCATGCTATGTGGGCGCTACACATTTTGGCAATGGACTGTATACTGTATTTGTGCAAAGTCAACCTAAAAGGGAGACTGGACACATTGGACTGCCAACATAAATCTTCAATGAAAAGCCTGCCTCAGCATCTCCCAGCCTGGCTCATCCACTAACGAACATTCTTGGGGTTTCAATAACAGGGTTTTTGCTAGCATGCTGTCACACTGAAACAGGAAATACCCCATTATTAAGTCAAAGTAAACACAGTGACAGATACGCCCACCAAGCGTATTCTTAGACGGTAGCTTTGTAGTTAGTATAAAGGAACAGAGCAAGAGGTCAACAAAGGAAGGGATGAAAATGAGAAGTCCAGTGTGGTGTTGTCAAGTCAGCCAATTAGCCAGTGCCTTTGTAATGGTTTAATTATAGCGAGCTGGACACAGAGCAGAGTCCATGCCGCTAACGAACCGAGTGACAGGACCATGTGGATCAGAGCAGCTCCTTTCAATCAAAAGCACTTAGAGCACTTGAATAAAAGCAGCAGAGTTAAATATAATGAAAGCGTAAAATGTGCCCCAGCAATAAACAGATGGCCACAGCATTTGCATCCATTTGGCTCCATAAAGCAGAGAAAACAGAATTATCATGCATCTGGTCAGGCTCTGAGGCTGAGGGACAGTGAACCTTAGTGCCCCGATATGTTT